CTTCGTCTAGTCCCTGCTTGGCGAACCCCATCCGGCCTGGGGCTCAGAAGCCGGTCTCGGCCTTCCGGACTCTGCTTGGTCATACGGCTCATGGTCCTTGCTGGAATGCTTCACAAAAACTGAAACGGTGCTTGGCTGGTCTCCCACTGAATGCCTCCACAAGGCTTCTGCCATTTCCCTCGATGGCGACTGCCAAACTAGTTTGGTGCAGTCAACCACAAAGGCCTCCGCTATGGCGGCCTTTCTTGGTCGCAGCTCAGCCACTGCCCTGGAGTCGTCACGGTCTTCACCATTTTCTGACGCCTTGCTCTTAAAGGCACTCTTCTATGCCACTTGTCGTGGACTAGCTCTCGGGGAATTTTCCGGTAAGTCTCCCTGATGTTAGGCTGTTTGAGATTGCCTTTAAACTATAGTTTTTGTCTCAAGTTTCGTTACCCGTCATAGTTTTTTGTAGTCAATTTTGCTTGCGTGCTGGGAAGGATGTTCCAAATCCTTTTGTTTCGTCCTGTGACACACACCCCTATAGACAGCTTTCAGAGGTTTTCTGATGATTAATTGTTCTTGTATTTCGTACGGCTGTGATCATGCCTGATCTAGCCGGTCTTAATGATGTCACGTCTCGTACTTCTTCACGCGTGGCGATTTGTGGCAATGGATTTGGAAAGCTCGATCCATTATTTTATCCGGCGTCGGAAGCAGAATACTGAACCTCCAAGGACCGCTTCCATGTCTCCACGAAGTGGTATTCAGTTGTCCTGCTCTTCGATACCTCCAGGTGGGGCAACAGTGCCGATCGAGGGCAGCATAACTGAGCTACTGAGGCAGACAGAGGACGTGTCCAAACTACCTAACGCATATTTCTTAGATGGCCTGAAATCACCAGTTGATCTGTATCATGATTAAACCTTGTCATTGGCAATCAGTACACCTTTTCGTATAGTTGATTGAGGTAACTCGAGGATAACCTGATGCACACCGTGATGATTCAAAACGGCCCCCTTCCAGTCCAAACTGAGGTTTTATAAGCAGAAATTTCCCGTTACCCATTAATCACTTAAGACCGTTATGGTGGTAATAAACTACTGGCTTTTTCTTCCAGGAATCTTCTAATTAACCATTTATTATTACTGAAGTTCCTTTACTCCAAGTACAACCTAATCAACAGGTATTGGTTTTGCAGTCAATTTTCTGTGCGTTATTAAGTTGCAGAAGCATGCGCCAAACCACAAACTATGTTTACAATAAACAGATAGGAGTTATAATGCTGCTGCGATACATTTTGATGCAGTTTCAACCTATACACGACGGTGGAATTCCTGCACTTACATAAACCTTTAGGCTATGTCAGCCTTAAAGTAAAAAAGGTACAAAGGTTTATGCCATCATCTTTAGTTTTCAATCTTGCAACTATCAAGTACGTTAAGTAATTTTTAAGTACGCAGATTAATTTTTATCTCACTATCCAGCTCTCGAACTGTGTGACTGTGCTCGTTTCTAAAAGGGTCGCATAACTAAAAAGTGAACTCGCGGAATTACTAGTGCGGATTCCGATGATGTAAAAATCATGTTAATCACCAAAAACAAAGACTGCAGGATCTCGACTGGTACAGCGATTTGCCGGCATTTCTAACGTTAGTTACTAGCTATGTTCTCTCCTTCTACAAAATGGTGCTCGTTGTATAACCCGCATTTAGCACTGGCTCTCTCTTTTGTCCTTGTCAGATTTACTGGACGCAATGAGTTCACTTGTTCCCCTGCTGGTTCCGCAACCTATCCAGCAAATTCTGCGATTCCAAATCACTTATGCAAACTCAGCTGCGCTGGGCGATTCCGTTACTTTGAATCCATTGCATTGTCACATTCTACGGTTCATGGCCCACCTTGTCATCTGTCTGCAACACCTCGAGTCCGAACTTCCAGTTAGTCGGTTTGTTTATACACGCACCTGCCCTACTACCCCTTAGATGTGGCTGGTGTATCACTACATTATATACATTTTTCCTTTCCAGGACAGTCACTGTACGCGCGTATTAGAAGCCTACATTGCAACTCTAATTGCCGAGCATAGACTTCCGCTTATTGCTCCTTACACTGCCTGTCTCTCCTCCCCGGCACTTCAGACCCAGTGGTACGCTGCGTTCCTATCAGGTAAGGCTGTGCCGCCTATTCCGTGGAGTACCTGCCTTTGTGTTTTCAGTAATCTTAATTTCCCCCTCCCCTCCGGCTCAATGATGAATCGGAATAACTAACTCAGGAGGTCTT